AAAAATATTTTCTGTATTTTCATAATTTGAAAAGAATATTGTTTCAATGGAAAATAGTCCAGCAAAATCATCAAGATTCAAAAGGATATGTGTTTTCTGTGGCAGCAGTCATGGAAAAAACCCAAGCTACCAGCTTGCAGCCATCCAACTAGGGAAACAACTGGTAATTAAATCTTAATTGATTTAACGGTTTTGCTATGGAGCTATCGGATGGTTCGGCTTATGAAGTCATCCGTAGTTATTTACGAATATTGTATTGACACGTGTCCTACAATAAATGCACTTTGGACATGTGTTAATACATTAAGTGATGGATGACTCCATAAGAAAACTGTCCGATAACTCCATAAAATTTTTGATTGACTTAATTAACTACATAATTGCTCTTCTTTATTTATTCAATTAATTCATTAATTTATTATTAAACAAATCACCTTACCTTAATTTAATAAGAAGGAAAAAGTGTAAAATATTTCAAATAATTTGGAGTCTATATATATATTTCTAATAATTTGGAGTTTTATTATTATTATTATTATTATATATAGGTGTGTGTGTATGATGTTGTTCGAATGAGAACCAAGTCTAAGCTTGAGGAAACAACTTAGTAATTATATCTTAATCAATTGATTTAATTAATTACATGATTTTCCTCTTTATTATTCAATTCATTCATTCATTATTCAACAAATCACCTAAACTTAATTTAGAAAAAAATTGCAAAATATATATGCCTAGTAACTTGGAGCGTAGCTGCTGTGTATTCGCACGATTGTGCATTTTGATTTATAATATTATTTATCATTTTGGAGAAAAAAAACAAAAAAAAAACTTGGAGCGTATACTAATAATTTGAATTGTTAGAATATCACTTGTGAGTTGTCCCACATCGTTTATACATGGAAAATAGACCCACCTTATAAGTCTAATGGGCTACTCCTCCTTCCACCAATTGGTTTTGGGATGGAACCTCACTTGGGCTTCATATGGGCTTTTCCCTTCTCATGGTGCGCTTCATGTTAGTGGGTCCGTACCGTTTTCCCTCAGTTTCTTATATGGTATCAGAGCCGGTTCTATTGGAACTGTGTGATGACGTACCCGTTTATGGGAGTCCGCTTCCCCACGTACCCGTTTATGGGAGTCTACTTCTAGTAGGCTTGGGGCACCCAGTTGGGCTTGGGCTTCTCGCATTCGTTTATGGGAGTCTACCTCTAGTAGGCTTGGGGCACCCAATTGGGCTTGGGCTTTCGAAGGTCTCACAAGTGAGGGGGCGTGTTAGAATATCACTTGTGAGTTGTCCCACATCGTTTATACATGGAAAATAGACCCACCTTATAAGTCTAATGGGCTACTCCTCCTTCCACCAATTGGTTTTGGGATGGAACCTCACTTGGGCTTCATATGGGTTTTTCCCTTCTCATGGTGCGCTTCATGTTAGTGGGTCCGTACCGTTTTCCCTCAGTTTCTTATATGAATAAACAGGCCAAAATATTAGTGGAGGTATGTTGCTAGAATTAATTGAACAGAATTAAAATTAAAATTAAATGACGAGATTAACAGCTAATTACGTGTTGATGCATGTGATTAAACATGTAAATATGTGAGGGGACAAGTTTAATTAATTAATTAATTAATTAATTAATTATGTGGTAGGTTGAAAGGAACATAAACTTGGTCTATGGTGGTGGGAGTATTGGGCTCATGGGCCTCGTCTCTCAAGCTGTGTATGATGGTGGACGCCACGTGTTAGGGTACTATATATTATTATTATTATTTAATTTTTCAAATATTCATATAAATATTCAATGAATATTCCAAACATCATTTATTATATCTGAAAGTTTTAATAAATTCGTTGGAATTCTAATTAGAAATTGAAGATTCCAACAACGATTTTTTGGACAGATTATTGTTGCAGATTTTTTTTTATTTATTTTTTTTTTTTTTT